TTGGATAGTACAAGATCTGAGCCATGAAGACTGTAATGAGGTTTGTGGGTCTTTTTATTAAGTTGTAGTCTTTCACGGTTTGTGTGATGTCATGGTCTTTCCACATTGTTGGCATAGTGTTTCATCTAACATTGATTTGAACGAATGTAAAGGATGTGCTATATTGATAAATGTGTCAAAAATGATTATAGCTTACGTAGCCTTCTTCCCTTAATGTTTACTCTAATACCCTAGTAAAACTCAGTTTTTACAATATACTTGGAGGTTCCACTCCAGTGACACTACAGAATAATGAAGCATTCCACAGATTGAGTAAAAATGAGATAATTTCCACTACAGAGCCAAAATAGCCTAGAGCTCATTCCGATTTCTATAGTGTTAAATGCACTAGAGAACACAAAACCCCCTTCTTGTGGTTGGCATGCTGATCCATTGCAGGGATAACCCCCCGGCAATGCTGGTTCCCACTTATACAGTGGGGTAGACTGGAGCAACTGGGCAAAATTTCAACAGCAGTGTTAGTGATAAACCCAGATCATTACCCTCTATGCTACACCTCTTCTCCCCACAGATGCAGTACGAACAAATGATTTAATATGCCCTATTCATAAGGTACAGTTATATCTAATCTACAGCTGACAAATCTAAAGTTTAAGCTTAGCTACAGCAAATAAATTTACTTTATTTACTTGATTTGAAATATAAGTATTAATAAAAAGAGCCATACAAATTCAATAGAATTTTAAAGCATGTTCTCTTCCAAGGAAACAAGTACATATTGTGTTAGAAAAAATAAGATTGGATGCAGCTTTTGTTAATACAAATGTTTGGAACTTAAAATGACATAAACACACTGATACTGATTATTCTACATTATAGAGTACACTAAAACATTAAGTCAAAGGGAATTCTTTGGAATGGCAATAATCTTAAACAGCTGTTTTGGAATTATAAACATTATATGGGACAAATCTCTTGGTGAATTTGCCTAGATGTAGTTTCAGTAGATAAGTTACATTTTTTAATACAAACAGATCTTATACTTTGCCACATTGCAAAAGCTGATTAATTAGATTTAAGCTTGATTGCACTTCTCAGTAGGACAAGAAGAAGATACATATGGATTCTGCTTTCAGGAGTTTCTGGTATTAAGCCCAGAGCTGCTATCTGGGAGTCTTTCAGTAACATTGAGATTTCAAAAGTGGTATTATAGTAATTGCCATCAAATAGTTTCCCAGAATCTACCTACTGTAAGTTGGAGAAAGTCCAAAACATACTGAAATAGTTGCCATGCTTTTCTACAACTTCCCCAAAAGCTACTAATTAGAATGAGATATAATTTAGCTTCCCCTGTCAAAACACTTTTCTTAGAACATTCCAGTAGAATTCATCTCACACATTAGAATAGGTAATCTTAAGAGCTTCACTTGATAGCTGAGTTACTGTATAACATAAACTATGTCTATGGGGCAGTGCATTGAGTTCCAAGGTTTTGAATTATAACCCCGCCCACCTTCAGGTGCATTGTGTAAGATCCTTCTTGAGGGTAATGTCGCTGTGCAGACCTTCACACATAAAACCAATCCAGACTTAATGAAATTTGAATGGTCTGTATATGAATTTCAGTGAAGCAAAGCCTATCTGTCTTGAGTTCTTGTTATAGCCTAGGTCTGGCCAAGGTTTAGTTACTCAATTTGCAGCCCCTACATTAAAAAGTGTGCTCACCATCTTCTTAATTATTTAATTGATAATGAGATCACTATAGAAATTAAACAGCTGGTTGTATTAAAGTATTGCAGAGCAGTGGACTGGAAAAGCTATTAGTTGTGTAGCCCTGATATACAGTAGCTAAAACTGTGTGTAGCCTTTGGAACAGCTAAAATTGCTTACCTAATTCAAGATCTCTACTTATCACATGACTCAACAGCTAATCATGACTTCAGTCTAATCAGAACCTCCATTGACACATCTTACTCACACTGATTTTGTTTTGTGAACACACTTTATGTGCATATTGGCATCCAACTATACAATAAGTGAACTGTCAAACACTAGGCAGACTGTAGGCAATACTCGATACAAGTTAACAAGTCTTTGAAGCTGTCTGTACAGTGCCCTCTTGTGGCGATTCCATTATTATTGAGCTCTTAACCTGGTAACCCACCTCAGCATGTAATGGACACCTGGATTTTCATGTGCTGAAATATAAGAAAGTAATGAAGGAAGTTTATGAGCAGGTTTTCTAACTCTGCAGTTTTGGTTACTGATGTAATGTCCTGAAACTTCCTATTTGAACCAGATCATTTCTTAAGGGGTGTGGAGGATGTGAGTATGTGAGTGGAATCTTTCTTGGGTTAAAAGTATCCTGGTGAGGGATAGGACTGTGGTCAGATTTAAATCAGGGGTAGGATTACAATGATGACACATCCAGTACATACTGCGTGTATGTAAGAAGTAAATCACTTTCTGTAATTTCATGCAAATTCAGAAAAAATATAAACGTTTTTCTGACTTTCTGAAAGTGTACAGGCAGTTGGCAATCCTGACAATAAGACCCATTTGGCAGAGTGTGAATAAGTCACTAACCAACTAATATAAGTTAACTACAATAGCACCCATAACCTTCTAAAGTTGTAAAAGAAGCATGTGTCTTTTCTATCTGTGAACTGACACATATGTTAGCATTTAAAATCAGTATTAATTGATTAGCAATTGCAACCATCCAACCTTAAGAACTAGCAGCAGCTGCATGTGAAGAGAAGCAGAGAGGTGTAACACACAAAATTACATTAATGTTCAGGGAGATCATAAATGAGTTTACTTCGGAATGTTTTCATTCAAAAGTGTCACTTTTTATACAATGTTATACAATTTACTTGTATACATAATTATTTAATTCTTCTAATAATGATTCTTCATTTTTTAGGTTTTCTATGCCTGGGTACTATATGTGTTTAAAATATATTTATATTTATTTATTTTGTTCAAGAACTCATTTGGAGAATCTGGATACACTGAGCAGATCACATTTAGGAAATCTGTTTTTATTATTTTTATATTTTTTATCCAAATTTTGGTTGGAATTCATACTTCAATAGAAATGTTTGGCCACAAATGTTTTTCTTTCAAAATATTGGAAATGCAGACATAAGGTCTCTCTTTTTTATGATAACAGATGTATGAAATTATAATTTAGAAAATCCATGTGCAGTGAATAAATTACGGATTGTTGCAATGATTATTAAACTTTTAATTGAATGGACACACAGTGCAATGCATACCACTCTCCAAAGATACTATAATATGAATTTATGTTTATTTGATTTTTAGTCTTAACTGATATTGCTAAACTAATTAAAGGCAAAGTCACTCTGGGATTAAGCAGAAAATACTTTTGTCTCCAATATCACAATGAAGTCACGTTGGTTTATAATATCTTGCTGTCCAAATCTTTTAATCTCTCATTCCCTAAACTATGTCCTATGAAGACCCTAGAAGCATTGAGTATGGTATATGTACTGAAGAACATAAGGCCTACCTGTGGTTTCTTTGACACTAACAACTCCCAATGAAACCATTTCTATCAATATATTACGTTAGCCTTACCAATTGGGTTTGTGTAACTAAGAACATTACTTGATTGCAAACAGAATGTGTGGAAAAGTTCAGATATACTGTCGTTTGATTGTTCATAATGCTTTATAATCTCCATTGCAGTAACTCATGTTTAAAACAAACTTCAAATGAATCAGAAAGTGCTACTGGGATCTAAATCTCTGGTTTACAAAGGAAGGATTGGGAATAGGGGGGTGGGCTGCAGGATAGCTTTAACTTTATATTATTAATTGTGGGAGTGCATTATTATATCCAACCATCACACTTAAACATTCAATGAAATGTAATAATTTACAATGTTTTGAGATGTGATATCTCTTATCCTGACTTGGCATGCTTTTTTGTCATTCTGCATTGCAGTTTAATCATACTTTGGAGAGAACAAAGCTTCCATAGCTGCATGATAATGACTTTTGGGAATGAGAAGTTCTTTGCTGTTCCTAGAAGGTTTATTAAAAATGAAACATTGCGGAATGAGACAGTTTTGGCTATAAATCAGCCACTGGATGGCAATCTGTATTTTACAGATACGTACAGGTTTAATCCATGTCAGTGATCACAATGGTTAGAGCAGTGTCTTCTCTAATGTCTGGTGTAAAACAGTAGAAAATCCAGTTTTTCAATTAGGGAAATTTTAATATTCAAAGATGATATTCGAAGTTACATGTATCATACGTGCTTTCATAGATTTTATAGGGTAGAAATGTGCCGTAGACTGAAATTTAAAAATACAAATTTGGTTTAGAATGTACCAGTTTGAATCAGATGAAAAACAATCATATTGTTGTTATATAATAGACATTTTAATACTTGGAGATCTTTGTTGTATTATACTAACAAAGATTAATTTTATTTTCCAATTGGAGATTTATCTGCTAATTTTAAAGTAGAAAACATCATTTTAGGTTTTGATATATATTTCATATTTGACAAAGATTTGACATATTTGATGCTGATATATCCTGCAGTAAAAACTTTGTCTTTAAATCACAAATTGAATAAAATCTGACTAGGTTTAAATATCAAAGTATCTCAAAATGTTCTATACTGTCAAACTGTCAGTAGATCTTTTTACAGATTTCTAATTTATGTCTGCCATTGCATTAAGTGTAATCTGTTGCTATTACAGCATTGAATGACATTATATTGTTGGCAATGTTCTGCTACTCATGGGATGAAAATGACACCATGCTGCCTATGTGGATATCCTGGACTTTCCTTTATGTGAAATCAATCAATCAGCCAATGTGTCCCCAGGACCATTAACTTGCCTGCCAGCCTGCTTGTCTCACTGTCTGCTTGTCTGCCATCCTGTCTGTATTTTTCATGAGCTAAAAAAGATCCTGCAGGAAACTAATATTTTCCTTTTTGTTCTGTCTCTACAGATACCTCAAATTAGCTATGCATCTACCGCACCTGAACTGAGTGACAACACCAGGTATGACTTTTTTTCCCGAGTTGTCCCACCTGATTCATATCAAGCCCAGGCCATGGTTGATATTGTCACTGCTATGGGATGGAATTATGTGTCGACTCTGGCTTCTGAGGGAAACTATGGAGAGAGTGGTGTAGAGGCATTCATACAGATCTCAAGGGAGTCTGGTAAGTGGCCATTTATTGGTTTTGTATTCACTGGCTTCAACTCACAGTATATTGCCTCCTTGGAATAATTAACAGGTGCTTGTCAGAGTAGTGCTCTCAGCAAGGGGATTCTTGGTGCTTCACAAAACCTTGTAAAGATGTCACTGTTACTGTTTTATTTGTGAAGGTTAATATTGCTAAAGTAAATATTTTCCTTATCAGTTTGAACTGGTTAATGAAACAACAATACTGTAACCAACAGAAAACTACTATCAAGCATTAAATTATCTATATTATATGATCTGCACTTTCTGAAAAAAACTTGTGCTTCGTTTTGTAAAAGTAATCTGAGTGTCCTGAAATGCAGTAGCAAAGTCACAAACTCCATGAGATTATGTTACCAATTTCTTATTTGCTTTCCTGATTTTAAATTTTTACCTTAATTAATTAATTATGTACCTTAATATGTTCCCTATGATAGTTTTGGAATGTAAAGTTTTTGTATATTTTCTGGGTTTAAACATGAAGCAGAGTCAATATTCATAACTAACAAAACTGAGAAACAGGTATGTGATTTGTCCTCTAAAATGTGTCTACAGATTTAGATAGACAACAGTATCTAGCACATATAGTACATGTATAAAAACACAGCAACAAATCCTGTTTAATTTTTTTTTCTTCTCAGATGCATAATCATTAAATGTGTATATTAATATTTTTGTCACCTCTTCAATCCACAACACAATGATAAGTGTCAGAAAGTACATATCAACAGATGTTGATTTTTTTCATGAGTAAGTTTTTGTTAAGGGCCTTTAAAGTTGTTTTTTCTAAAATAAAACTACCTAGAAACTAAAAATAAATACAGGAATACATAAAGTATCTATTCAGACAAGTGCTTGAACTTGATAAATGGTTTGTGTTTATCACTATAAATATGAAAATCTCCTTAAAAATCCTATTTTAAAATGTGATTATATACTGTGCCTGCAAATATATGTTATTTTTTTAGAGACCTTATAGTTGTAAGGAGTAAGTACATCATGTGGGTTAATGGAAAAACAATTTTGATTTTCCTATTATTGTTAACGCACTGTGAATGTCTTGAAAATGAGTGCAGGGTCTGAATTCACCTGCAGTGATGCCACTCCCAAGATGATGTGTGAGGCAATAGCCATATTATTGATGTATGTACTGTATATTATTTAATCAAACAGTTACTGTCATTGAGGACCTTAAAACTAACAAAATAATGGATTGGCTTATGTTAGTATTTAACATTTTATTAATTAACAGAAAAAGTTGAACTAACAGAATAACAACATTGGTGGTGTTATTGAACTTTTCTGAATAAAGATATAATTATAGAGGGTGTTCAAGCAACTTAAAAAACGTTTTAATATGTTATATATCCTCGAATAGCAATCAAGGAGCTAATCAAAATTATACATGTAGTTTCGTACCATTTTTGTGAGGCAACATCCAAAATGACATTTTGAAGAATCATATGCACACACAGAATGTCTTCTGATTGGATTAATTGCAGGAGAAATAGAGGTTGTCCTGCACATTCTTTAATTTACATTTTTTTACAATACAGAATATGACAATCCCATTTTGTGTGATCTAGCTTAAATTAACAACAGCTGACGTCCTTATTAGTTGTAATTGACTGCCTTCATGGATCAGTGTTACTGTTGTTTATTTGCTTCTATTTCCTTTTAATTGCAACACATTGTTTGTATAGAACTAATGACAGAATGTAACATTTTAGTTTTCTTATTATCTTGAGAGTGATACTTCTGTGCTACAGCCTGATGGCAATAAGTAGCCTTGTGACTACAGCATTTCCATGCTAAGAACACATGCTACTGTACTGTATGAATATCTCAGATTGCATGTGATTGAATAAAATTTAATATCAATAACAGATACCCAAAATTCACTTGCACCGTATCACATGTACAGTGGGTATAGAAAGTCACCACCCCCTTTCAAAATGTTCACCTTTTGTTGCCCTAAAGCTCAAAAAGAAGACAAATAAAGAAGACCTTTTTCCAGTTTTATTTAAAAATTGTACCTTACAACAGCCAAGTGATAAAAGAAAGCAAAATTTATGTAAAAAAATAAAAAAGAAAGCAAAATAAAAAGTAGAATAATTGGGTTGGATAAGAGAACACCTCCCTAAGTTAATACTTGGTGGAAGCACCTTTCACTTTAATTGCAGCCTTGAGTCTGTTTGGATACACCTCTACCAACTTTGCCCACCTAGAGGGAGGAATATTTTCCCATTCCTCCTTACAGAAGTGGTCATCGTCATGTTGAAAGGTGAACCAACTTCCCATTTTCAACTTCCTGGCTGAGGGCTGTAGGTTTTCTTCAAGAATGTGCCTGTATTTTGCACCATCCATCTTCCCTTCTATCCTGACAAGTGCTCCTGTCCCAACTGAAGAGAAACAACCCCACAACAGGATGCTGCCACCAGTGTGCTTTAATGTAGGAATGGTGTTCTTTGCACGGTAAGATGTATAGGGTTTTCGCCAGGGTTTTGTACCGTTTTGCATTCCAGCCAAAAAGTATGATTCAAGCCAAAAAGTATGATGTAATAGACTTGATGTGGCTTTTTTTTAAGGAGTGGCTTTTTTCTTGCCACCCTCCCATAGATGCCAGATTTGTGGAGCGCTTGTGATAGTCACACGCACACAATGACCAGTCTTTGCCATAAAGGCCTGTAGCTCATTCAAAGTTGTCATCGGCCTCTTGGTAGCCTCTCTGATCAGTCAACTTCTTGCTCGGTCATCCAATTTGAAGGGACAGCCTGATCTAGGCAAGGTCTAGGTGGTGCCATATGCCTTACACTTCTTAATGCTGGTCTTGACTGAGCTCCATGGGATACTTAAAGCCTTTGAAATATTTTTATACCCATCTCCTGACTTGTGCCTTTCCACAACTTTATCTCAGAAGTTCTTTTGAAAGCATCTTTGCACCCATAGTGGATTCTTTGCTTTTAAATGCACTTCCAAGCAGTGGAATCTTCTACAATCAGCTGCTATTATTCTGAACTAATCAAAATCACCACAATTGATTACAGGTGGGAGCCAATTAGGTTGATGTGTGATCTGTAAGGTTATTGGTTATACCTGAGCAAGTTTACAAATGCAATTACTGTATAAGGCTAGTGTTCACTTATCCAAATAAATTATTTTACTGTTGTAATATTATGGTGTTCTTTGGATTTTCAGAACACCATAGAATTTAGAATTTGACAAACACTTCCAATTATATTAACAATATTATTTATATATTTTATAATTTTTTTAGAAACATTTCTAAAAAGCATATAAAGTAATTGAAGGTTAATGCTGCTTTCTAAATTAAGCTATTTTGTAATACAACAGCTTAAAGAATTTACAGTTGTAGAAGGCAATTGACATTGGTGGTAAATTATTTTGTATATGACTTTTGTAACTTTTTCTGAAAAAACAAATACCTAGCATACAATGGTCAGGTATTATTAGGATGATTTCAAAAGAATATAATGGATTTCAGAGTCAGCAGTTGTGTTTGAAAGCTTAGAATTTGGTACATTTTGATTTAGAATAAAAACATTGCATCAAAAATTTAAGTAAGTTTAAAATGACAGGACAAAATGTCTACCTCTGTTAAAAATTCTAAAAAGAGCGTAAATCTAAGTTGCTAACCATGAGAAAAATGCTGAGAAAGACATGAAAAGAAAAAAAAAACACGAGCAGTAATACTTATAAATAGCTGGTCTATGACCCATGACTTTTTCTTTTAGTTTGTCAGACTGCAAATGATGAGAGATTCTTAATGTAAGTATATCCCCCTAAGAGAAATGACAGTGAGAGTTTTACAAATTGGAACATTAAGGATGGGTAAAATAATAATAATGAAATAATTAAAAGGTTAACTCATAAACTGGTAAAAAACTCAATTAATATACAAGAGATGCATTTTATTTAGTCCCCCACAAAGTGTAAAATGTAATTAGACTAGTTTTTACTAACTATGTACTTCTAGTAGTCTTCAGCAATAACTTTCAATTTTTCTCTCTATTGACTTATATAGCATTTGAGCATATTGCCTTATGAATTTCACTAGTTCTATTTATTTCACTATTTCTGATGTTCACCTAACCATTAAATGTTACATAAATACTGTGAATGAAAGCAAGGTCTGATAAACATATTCTTCCCTCAGTTTAATAACAATAGACAGCAACAAGCTTTGTTATATAATTGAGATGTGGTGGATATGTGGTTTTAACACCAGACTGCAAAATGCTTTGTTATATAATTGAAATGTGGTGGATATGTGGTTTTAACACCAGATTGCAAAATGCTTTGTACATAAGTTCTGTTAAATAGTAGACATTTCTATTACTAATTGCCATGTGATCAACAAATAATGTGGAAAGGGGGATGTCAGATTTTTTTTTGCTGTGTTCTCTCTCACAATGAATAAGGCAAAACTGGAAGGCATTACCGTATACTGTAGCTCAAATTCCCTTTTCGTTCATTATTTATTTAATTGTGTTTTGTGTCTCAAGCTACAAAGCTGAATCCTGGTTCTGTGACTAGAAACCTGTTAACAACTTCTGACAACACTTGTGTTCTTGTCAGCACATTGATAGAATTTGTTCTGTCTAATCTGTGGAAGTACAAAGACTATTTCCTTCTTTCTGCCATCTTGCCCTGATATTTGTACCTTGAAAGTAAAGGTCTATGTATTGAAAAGAAATCAAGCTGGTGCTACAAGAGATTAATACCCCAGCACTTCCCTTCATATAAAGGAAAAAAAGAAGGGAAGATAGATACAAATGCCTCTTTTAAATCATATACCACCTGAACCATGAAAGTAGGGTTGCTCAAAATACAGTATGATCAGATCATTGATTGGGTTACTGTTCTGTATATGGAAGGCCACCAATCAATGTCATCAACTTCTCAGGCAATTTTTAAACTGTGGAATCAGCCTTCTTAGTTTATTTTTCTGTAAAG